CTTATTTTGTTTCAGATTCTACTACGGCATGAACTCAGTCAGCAGTGGACATAAATTATTTTATTTAATTTTTTTAATTTTAATTTAATTTAACTTTTATTTTTATTGTATTTTAATTTTTATTGCATTTTTATTTTATTTTATTGTATTCTTATTTATTTAATGTTATTGTATTTTTACTTATTTTATTTTTATATTTTTTAATTTGTTGTATTTTAATTTTTTTTATTTTTAATAAATTTGGTTTTTATTAAATTAAATTTTGTATTTAAATATAAATTCACCAGGATTCCATCGGATTCTAAGTGTATCCGGCATTTTCCAACAATCGGATCCAACCGTCGGATCCGACATCCGACAACTTCAGATCGGATTACCGTAACAAGGATTCCGACAACTTTCGATAGGATCCTATTAGAAGTTGTCGAAATCTCCAGGGAATCCGATCGGATCGGACTGTCGGATTCTTCGTTCTGGGGTGTGCAGAAAAACAAAATTATGTTTTGATTCATCTAGCAGTTATGATTAAACGAACGAAACATGAATCGAGGTATGAATGTACAATTTGGAACGTTACACTTTATGCTGATTCTTTTTTTTTCGCGTGTACAATATCTTACTGAATTTTTGAACGAAACTTTAAGCTTCAAAAATCTTGCTGATTAAATTAATGGAATTAAAGAGAAATATAGGAACAAGATGAAAAAGTAATATTCCATTTCTTAAAGCTCGAATTGCAATCCTTAACTGTCATATCGAATCATTTTTTTTCTCTATTTTCTATTGATAATAAAATCTCCTTTTATTATTCACTGTTAACAGAATTTCAAAGATTACCTTAGCGAATGTATTGAGTTCAGAGTACCTGGGTACTTATCAGGTATCTGCCCAGTTTCTATAGCATTCTATGGAAAATATTTCAACGAAGTAGTAGATTATGGCTTCGACTCACAAAAGAAGTCTTTCAAATGTTCAATTCCTTTTGAATCGAGACTATGTGTATTATGTAGATTCAAATGAGCTATGAGCATGCTGAGAAGAGTTCTTACCATCAGTTTATTGCTACGGAGATGCTGCATTTTTACGATATTTTTTAAATAAATGTCGTGATCTGTCTCAGAAATATGAGAAAAACTGATTTTCGAATTTTGACTTGAAACTTTCCATAGAGACAGGCCTTAACGAAAATAATAATTTTTGTGAATGTTTCAGCTCTTGTCACTATTCATATCATAAGATACAATTATGGTAATAGGGCATCTTTTACATTAATCATATAAACTAACAGATTTGATGTTCTTATTTCAAGATAGAAGCAAATAAAAAAGATTGGAAACTTCTCTTGTTAAGGTCTATCTCTATGAAAAGTTTCAAGTCGAAATTTGAAAATCAGTTTTTCTGGTATTCCCAAGGGGAATATGATATTTATTAAAAAAAATACCATAAAAGTGCAGTACCTTCGTAGCAATGAACTAAGGACAATAACTCTTTTAAAGATATTCATAGCTCATTCCGATCTACAGTATGCACATAGTCTCACTTCAAAAGCGACTAAACAGTTGTAGGACTTTACTCACCAGTACATTCACAAGGGAATTGATAACTCTATAAACAAAAGAATATTCGTTTCAATTCTGTATCATACCAATACATCTACTTTTGAATGCACTTTGATTTCGTGAACTATGAATTGTTTGAGCTGTACTCTCAGGAAAACCATATTTTTTTTCGGTTTGAAATTTTAATTAAATTGTTTATTTGTTTAGGATGATGTATAGCATTGAAATCGTTTGTAAGTTGATTTTTTTGTAGAAAAACTACAGAACACAATGGACTGAAATTTCAAAAATATTACCGATGAGTTGACTCTAGAATAGAAGTTGTTACAATTATGAAATCCAGATTAGCATTTCAGTAAATGTAAAATACTAAGCTAAACATGTATTGATCGTTTTATGTTACATTACTATGATATTACACATTACTCAATGCCCAATATGCAAATGGCCTCATATTGACTCATCAAGATATCATAAGTAATGGAAGTACTTTCATCATTGGAAATTTCATAACGCATGCTTAATATCTACCAACCAGATGCGTCGTTTGTGCGTTTTTGTGACTCATTGTGCTAACAACGATTCATGGCCACCTCTTTTTCTTTCTTTTTCTTCTTTTTGATGCAATAGTTTATATTAAAAACTTCTGACCATTGTTTTATATTGTTTCTTGCATTCTGATAAAGTGCGTATGAAAATTTCATTTTAGTTTTTAGACATAAAATTTATAAGTCGTTTTTTCCATTCGATTTATGAAGATGAATATTACTATAATTACTAAATTAACATACCCTATACAAAAAGTCTGTGCACTTGTTTCTATCAGTCAGATGGATTTTTGAATTGTTTTCGTTCTTGTTGACTTTAAGAACACATGGTAAATTTTACGTTGTGTTCTTTAATATGATTTTCGAAAGGTTTTGACAAATTTTATTCGTAATGATGGTGAAATACTTCTTCGTCTAACAATTATTCTTTTGATTCTATTGGAAGTAACGTCCAATATTTGATAGAAAAAATTGATTTAAAAACTAATGGAAGAAGAATTTTATTTTTTGCATCTTTATGATCCTGACAATCTTGACTGAAAACAAAAAGAACTTGTAGCGTATCATAGATGTTTTCGTTTTCTTATCAGATTCGTATGATCCTCCGATGAAAGTGTCGACTGCATTCTCTTATCTATGCGCATAACATCTACGTTTCCTTTTAGTTTACATCGATGATTAATTAATAGTTATTGTTGTGATAAAATTTGGGTAAGCTTTTTCATTAGTATAATGATCTTTATTTCATAGAAATGCATAATGATGAAATGAAAGAAACACGCTATCGTCACTATCGATATAAGCTTTGACATCCTAATTTCAGTAATATCCTTCTCGAATAGGCACAAGCTTATCTCGGAGAGAGAGAAAGAAAACGAATAGTGATCATAGCAAACCAAAACAATAACAAAATGGAAATATGCATGATAGAAGAAAAGGTCAGATAGAGGACATCGTACTGATATAGTGGTCATGACTTGACCGAGCGAGCAAAAGATATGCTATTCATGTAGTCGTACTTCTGGTAAGAATGTTTCAATGATTGATACGATTGTCATAGATAGTTTAGATTAAAAAAAATGAAATATTCAAATATTCTTTAGATCTTAATTGTAGTAACCAAATTGAGAAATGGCTGAAGCAATAAACGCAGAGATGATTCCTTGTGACAAATGTAATACACAAGTTAGCTTACATGATTGGCTATGGCATACAGTATGTAGATCAAGTTTCTTCGTTGCACATATCTCTAGATTCTTTTTCATTCTTTTATAGAGACAATGCGTTCATAGTGAAAAGAGTCATATTGAAAAATCAGACAGGTAAAAGTAATATGTATAAATTCTATTATTTATTTATTTTTTTAGTAACATCATACATGAATCTACTACAAGTGGTATTCCATGTGAATTCTGTAATGCTCAAATAAGTTTCGATGACTGGCAATCTCATTCAGTAAATTAATAATATTATATTTCAATAGTATTTTACGACATTCATTATATTGTAGAAACAATGTGGTGATGAACATAAAAAACGAGTTGAAAAATTAAAAAAAAAGTACGAATATTACTTAGAATAGAATGATTTATAATTCATGCTTTAGTAGTATTCCGGATGATTCAATAGTAGAACTTATTCCATGTGAATATTGTGATAAACAAATTAATGTACATGATTGGGAATGGCATTCAGTATGTCAATCATAGTTTTTTTATTATTATTGATCGTAATGCCATTGGCTATATTATAGAGACAATGTACTAATGCTAAAAAATATGATGATAGTAATATGGAAAAGTAAAACAAAATATCATTTGCAAAATGTGTTTATTTATTTGATGTTTACTAGTAATGAAAATGAATCAATGGATACACTCATTCCATGTGAATATTGTGGTGTTCAAATTAATATACAGGACTTGTCGTGGCATTCGGTGAATAGATGGCTTACTTTTCAGATGCTTGCAATTGAAAAATTGCTAAGAATTTATAGATTGTTAATATAACTAATATTTCAATAGTTAAATTTTATTGTATTTAAAGATATAATGCACTGGAAAACAGTTGGATAACAACGTATTTTTGATTGTTTTCTATAGTGTTAAGCAACTGGCTCAAGTCCAGATAATGATTTTTAACAGCCAATGGAGTTTTCTATCTAATGCATTCTGTAGAAAAATATCATAGATGAACTATGATGGCACACAGTAGTCTTCATGCCCCAGAAGACTATCTTTTAACAATGCCGTTTTAAAGAATACAAAATTATGAATAAAATGAGGGCCCATCGTATTACCTATGGCCTTTCTTTCAAAAGTTAAAAGTTCCACAAAAACTGCAAAAAAAACATTTTTAAATAAATTTCGTTTTACGACTTTTGCGATACTGTTAGCTTTTTTAAGGCAAGGTCGTAGAAAATGCAGCAATTCTTCATTTTGTGCTCCTTAAAATGGCATTGTTAAAAACCACCGTATTCGATTTTTCAGAAAATTTGCCATCATAGTTTATCAATGAAATCTTATTATAGAATGCATTAGATGGAAAACTTCATTCGCTACTAAAATCACTATATGGATTTTACCTAATTGTTTAATATTTTAGGGAAAAAAAATCAAAACTACGTTGTTATTAAACTTTTTTCTACCATATTAGTTCGCTGTGAGTGATAGGAAAATAGGTCTGCATAGTAAGGAGCTGTGGATCCATGTTTTCTTCTTTGAATTCAAACCCCGTGGACCCAGACACAAGTTTTTTTTCCATCGACGTCTGGCATCGTCTGCGTATATGAGCAAATGAAGAATAAAGGTTTTAGCTATTTATTGATTACTCTTGGAAAAAAACTAACATACAGATACTTCTTGCTGTTCACTTTCTCATCTATGGAACTGCGAATCCACATTTTCGTGAAATGAGATCCGCAGTTTCCTAGTGCATAGTAGTTGAGTTCTTTCATTATATATAAAATTAGTATTAAACCGTATTTTTTTTGTCAAAAATTACTGACTATTTTCATGCTCGTAGAATTTGTTGATTCGAATTATTTCATGTATATTTTCTATTTATTACAGAAGGAATGTGAAGAGACTGAAAGACAACGAATTGAGAATATAGTCAGGTAGAGAAATAATAATTATATCTAATTTCATGATTAATTATGCTTAATCTTTAGACAAAATGAGACGAAATCAAATAATAATCTTATTCCATGCGAATTTTGTAAAGAATCTTTTCCTTTTCAAGATTTTGACACTCATCAGGTTGGTGGCTTTTTTTTGTGACTCGTTATTCTAATTTTGATAGTACACTTTTATATCAAAAGACTCAATGCCAACGTAAACAAATTGCATCATTTACAGCAGTAAATAAATTTTGTTATTTCTATTTTATTCAAACAAAAAAGAATGTTTTACATGAACAGGGAGTGGGTGGTATTTTTCCTCTTCCAGAATATTGGGATCAATCATCACCGTATAATCTTTCTCGTTATACTCTTCAGCCTGATACAGAAGAATATAAATTTGTTGCGGATAATTTTCACAATACATTACCATCAAATGAAATTGTTCAAATTGAACGAATTCAAAATCGCCGTAAGTAAAGATCATGTATATATCTGATACATCCATATAAGCCTTATTTTATGAACGAAGTTAATTTATCAATAATAAAAAGATGTTTCCTATCGAGTTCTTTTATCTATTCTATATTGATTTTACAGGTTGGTACCGTCAATATGATGCTCATAAAGATGATTTTATTGAAAGGTATGGTAAAAGTACAGAGCAATGGTTATTTCATGGTAAGTGATCAGATTATTTAGATGTTAAGTGTCACATTTTCGCAAAATAGGATGCAAATCTCAAGGGGTCGAAGCCATTATTAATGATTGTTTTAATCGTAGTCATGCGGTTCGTTGTGGTGAGTAGATAGACTAAAAACATTAACATTCTTTCTCATTTGATGATTTGTTTAGCTGCTGGTCAAGGTATCTATTTTGCAACTCAAGCTGCCACAAGTCTTAGTTATACACAACCAGATTCGAATGGTCTTAGACATATGTTTATGGGTAAGAATTGTTTTTCTACATGTTTCCTAATTAATTCATCTATGAAGCTTAACTTGAATCTTATTGAAAAAATAAAGGATGAGTATCCATTCATCCATAAAGAAAATAGTTTGAGTAAATGCTGATCTAAAATTCTATAAAACTATTGTGAATTATTAAATTAATTGATTTCATTTTTTTTAGCTCGTGTTCTAGTCGGCAAGACCACTGCGGGCAATCAATCGACACGCATTTGCCCACAGGGTTTTGATACGACAGGTGGAGGAACGGTGTTTGTTACTTATCACGATGCTCAAGCTTATGGTGAATATTTAATTGCTTTTAGATGACATCATTTTCCAACTTCTTTCTTTTGTTTTCAATATTCTGTTTGTACAATTAAAAATTTGTTTGTATTATGGACTAGTGACATTTTGTTTATCTTTATAACATAATTGTACTTTTTATACATTCTTTCCAACTAACTCTATGTAAACACGAATAAGTAAATATTCTTTATGTTGCTTTGTTATTTAAACAGATATTTCTAGAATCAAAAATTCAAAAATGAATTTGTCAATAAACAACATGGAGATGTAAAAATATTAAAACAAAATGTCATCTATATAATTATGCATTTGTAGTACTATTTTAAGTATTGCTAAAGTTCTACATTAGTTTTGTTTTCAGCATAGTGTAATAACAACTCGCCGTGAATACTTCTTGATAGTTTTCTTGTTAGAAAGAGTCAAGTCTATACTGGAAAACTATGTAAAAATATTTCGTCCAAAATATTTACCAAAGTCTGAACAGTGCCTTGCCACTTCCCATAAAATTAGTGATGATAAATGAATTTGTCTTACACTCGGCTTTCGACATTGGTAGGGATGTTACGCATGAGTGTAGCCAATGGAATTTGAGCTTCTTAGTGGTACCACAATATTGGATTTACAAAATCATAAGTTTCATAAGAACCAATTTTATTAAAACTTGATTTACGCGACACACATATGAAATCTAAGCCTACTGCAGGATCACACTGATAAGTACAATTCATTTTAGCATATCTATCCTTCGCCCTTCTGTCACACTCACTTTAACATACTACGTTCCATATCTTTCATCTTCGATATGTATTAATAGTAGCCACTAATTCACAACCGAAACACTTGTTAGTCGACTTTATTGTTCACAAATTTGAATAGCTTCATCAGATTTTCATATTTTACTTCTACAGCGATTACATTAACAGTTTTCTTTACTTATATATATCACTTTATAGACCATTACATTTTATCTGAATTTTTCGTAATGATGAATAGGTACTGAAATAAGTCACGAAATCTCACTATTTTAATATTGCTTTTGTAATGTTCGATAAATTTCTTTTTTCTAGATATCTGCTATGTCTTACAGGATTTGAGAATTTAGCCGCAAGTTTTTAAAGTCTGAAGATTAGATTAAAAAAGAATATCGCTGCTCCAATTGTGTTTACTTGAAAAACTTAAGTGGCCATACATATCAAGCAGATAACAACAATGACAATGACAATTCTAATGCAATTTAGGTCTCACCACAGAAAAAGTATGTGTCAATAGATGGCACTCGGATACAGTATTATATAAGAGCTTCATGATTATGTAACATTCTTATAATAATTTTTTTAAAATTAAATCACTTCAATGAATTATTGAATAATAATACTCAAAAAATTAATTTTACTAAGACCGAAATGATTTATAAATAAACAAATGTAAAAATCATTAGTCATACCAATGCTTTTTTTCAGTCAAGGTAACATTTGTAATTTTGTTCTTTTCATCAGTTAACTGTCAAGTTCGACAGTTTCTTGTTTTGAAGCGTATACTCTTATAATAGTTTATATTCCAAATTAAACTTAATTTCAAAATGGTTTCTACTTATGGACAACGCCAACGAGTAAGAGCTAGCATTCAATTTTCATGAAAAAATGCTTGAGTTTTATTTTGTTTAGAGCAAATATCGTTTTCTCTTGGGTATAAATGGCTTTTTATTAGCTTTTGCCATTTTTATTATCATATCAATGTCCATTTATTGGGGTTTTTTTGAAGAATGGACAATTTGGACTGATTACACTATGGCTTGGGTACGATGAATGTTTTGAAATTGATTCAATCTTTATTTTGTTTATTTTAGATTGAATTCAATTTTTTCATTTATTATTGGGATCGTTTAACAATAACTCGTGCTTATCTTTCATTGATTTACATATATGGTTTTGTCCTTCTTACAAGTAAAACCGAGAGAAACAAAAAAAAAAAACAAAGTTTTGCAATTTAAATAAAATAATGAATTTTCTTTTAAATTTAGTTATTGCATTACAAATTCATGGTTATCGTCGTCGGAATATATTTCTTATACAATATGTTCCATATTCATTATTTGTTTTAGCTATAATAACAATACTTGGTGGTTTAGCTTGGTTTGCTATAACAATGATAAATATGAATGCAGGGTTTTTAACAAAAGAAACATTTTTACTTGAAAGACTTCGTTTTAAAGGTAATGCTTTTAAAGAATTAAAATATCGTGAACAAGCATTTAATTTGGTAACAATGGGTCGTGTACCACCACGTGTTTTTATTTTAACTGCATTCGTTAATCAGTAAGAATAAATTCTAAAAATAATTGTTTTTGAAAATAAAAGTTTTTATTTTCTAGACGTCAAAGAGATTTTAATTGTTGTGGTTGGAATTCTTATCTTGATTATGCAGCTTCATATAAAACTGATTTACCTGATACATGTTGTCATAAAGTTTGTCTTTTTTTTTTTTTTTTGTTTTCATTATTCTTTAATTAAGTTTGTCTTTTATTCTGTTTTGTTAGTATCAAAGAACTTTTAGTTGTGGTAAAAATATGTTAATTAATCCCGATCCAAAAATTGTTAATACACGTGGTTGTGGTCCATTAATGAAATATTGGTATCGACGTGGATTTTGGGAAAATATATTTATGAGTTTATTTGGAGTATTTATGGGTGTTTATATGATGTTTGTATTTCAACAAAATCGAAAAGAATTTATTCAATTACGTGATGAAGCTGATGATAGAAAACGTATTATACATACACAATCAATGGCATCACTTCGCTCAATGAACAATAATACGAATAAAAATCAAACAAAAACTAATACACAACGTTATCCATATACTGGTATGAAAAGTTCACCAATGAATGATACGACAGGTGTTTATGATTCAGATGATGATAGTTCAAGTATTCTCTATGAACCACGTCCAGCACTTAATCCAAATACTTAAGAAAATACAAAGCAAACTTTTTGTATATACTTATATTGTGTATTATGTTTAAGTATCTCGAAAAGATTGATCTCATATTCGATTATATATATTTTGTTTTCGTGACTTTTAACGAGATATGAGTCCATTAGAAAATATTTTCATTTTATGAGATATAGAGTTTTTACGATGGTCTTACAGTATCATTCAGTACAGTGGAAGAAACTAATTCAATATTTTCACCAATCAGTCTATAGTAGAACAGTGTATTATAAAATATTTTCGATTTGTTTGATTGTTTTTTCTATTTGAAATGAAGAAAAATTTTAAAATATAGGGCTTTTACTCATAACAGTCTCAAGAAAGAAATAAAATTAAAATTAATTGTTTTCCTACCAAGAGTATATGCGATTCCTACAGTCCCAGTTAAAAAAAATGACAAATGTACATCAGGAAGCATATCCTTGTCAGTAATACAGATATACTTTCAAGCAGAGATAATTTTTCCATCTTACAAAATGTTCGCTTTCCAACAGCGAAGTTTAGTGTTGTATTATCCACCAATTTCTAAAAAAAGAAATCCTCGATTCCTTAAATCCGTACGGTATCAGGATATCCCTGTTACTATAGATCGATAAATGCATAAGAAATTTATAGTGATGATCGATTTTATTTTTACTTTGATATTAAAAGAAACTAATGATACTAAAATATCAGTCATCTTTATAATTTCTTTATGTGATCATCGAGTTTATTCAAAAACAATAGATTGCTTGAACAATTATTAGTATTCGCAGCTAAGAAGAAAGATATTTCTCTTCTTGTTGAATGATGTATATATTCTTAAATTAAGATTTTTTCTTTTCGAGATTTTTTTAAACATTAATGTGTGTTGTATTTGTCTAAATTTTTGATCTGAATTTTATTTACATTCCATTTTATTTACAATTCTTTTTAAATAGTTTTGTTTATTATTAATGAAAATATAGAACAACATTTTGGATGAAATGTTAGTTCATCACAAATATATTACAGTATGATTTAAAAAGAAATTAATTATAATTGTTGTTAAAAAAAATTAAAAAAAAATTGAATCTTTTTGAAAAAAATTTCTTCAATAAAAAGAATTGTTTGACATATTACATAATAAGCCTGATTAATAAGATAAGACAAACAGACAGAAAAAAAAGAATGCTTTTGTCAAATGCAATGTTCAAATTCTCGACAAAAATGTTGAAAGAAATTCTTCATGATGACATATATCGTGACACATGTCAGTACATGGTTTGAAATATTTATCAACTGCAGTTCAATCTATAATTTTTATTTGAAGTAATTTATGGTGATGTATGACAAATGTAATTCTTCCTTCATTATGAAATATAAACTAAAAAGAAGATAAAAACTCATCGAAAAGTTTCAATCTCTCTCATTAAATCTATGATATATATAAGAAACCTATATAAAGTTAATTGAACGCAATATGTAATTTTGAAGATGAAGGTTAGAGTTATCGTCTGAAGAAAAAAAGATACTTCGAAATGCATAAATGTGGTATAATATTATGACCATTTTGCTTCTCTTGTGTGAATATTTTCACCTAACATTTTTTGAGAAAAGATTTTTTTTTTTAAATACAACATCGAAATGATTTATAAGTTTATCAGATTGACATTTTGTGTAAATACCAATCATCAAATGTTGTGATACATTGACTTCATATTTTCGGGCAATTACTATTTACCTTTTTGAAATACTGTTAATTATTTTCTCAACATTTTTCTATACTAGAATTTTTCAATAATACGTCAATAATCTTTTTATTTGATGCTATGTAATGAATTAAATTCATATTTAGTTAAATGTTGTCGAAGGATACCTCACAAATCTTCTATTGACCTTATACCATCTACTCAGCTTTGAAATGAATGCTAGAAGTTTTTTAATTACCACTGTCGGAAGAATAAATTTAGATAATTGACATTACGAGTGACTGGAAAGTTTTTAGACAAGATGTTTATTCATTTTTACCCCTCTAGAAAATATTTTCGGCGAGTTGAAAGCTTTGAGTCAGAGCCAGAATCTTGTTTTCTTTTTGAATATAGGGTTTAGAAATGTTGCCTCATTTTTTCATTCAGAGTAGTGATATAATCTATAAAGAATCGAAAAAAACGATCTCGCATCTTCAGGGTTACTATTCAATTTCGATAGGAAAATTACATTGAGAATATCAATATACAGTTGAATCCGGTTTAGGCTGGAGGAAATTTGATTAATCGGATCTGAGTGCGAAAAATTTTGGATCCGATTGACTCTACTATGGGTACCGCTTTTGGTTAACATGGTTGTTCATTATGGTATGTTGAAAGCGTTTCAGACGAGCCGAAAACTATAGATTGTGATCGAAATTTGAATAAGTGCCTAGATATATTGAGTCTATTTTTGTTCAAGTTTTGCTTACCCTTTAAATCCGTTGTTGAACATGCTAAAAATTGTGGGAGTCAGTGATTTTCTACAGCGAACATTTCTAAACAAAATGTGACATTGAATTAAACTGTAGTTTTTATTCAATTAAGGCTACAGGCAGGTTTTTTCAAGAGTTCCTTTCAACATAAAATATTTTTGAATTTTCCGAAAATAAGTATTTAGGAAAAATGAAAATTGTGGTGCATTATCGAAAGACAAAAACACATTTGAAATAGTGTATTTTGTAGGGTACCTTCTGACCTACAAGTTGATATATAAATAAAAATCCCAAACTTTTCGGTTCAAATCACAATAATGAAAATACAAAAGTTTTCTATTAAAAATAATATTTTTTTGACTTTTCAATGATTATTTCACTATTGTTGAATAAAAACTGAGACAATATTTCTTAGCTCACATATTAAAAAGATGATCACTTGTTATTCGTGAATAAATTGGAAACAGTAAACTTCATAAAACAAGCTTGTCAATATAAAGTGTTATAAAACTGTAATCATAATCAGCATATATGAAGAATATTATTCTATTAAAATGGATAGACTTGATAAAAAGACTTCTGTGGATAAAAAAAGCCATATACTATTATAAGAAATGTTTCTTTCATTTTTCTTAAAAAATGTAAGATGAAAATATTCATTCCAGAATAGTAAAATCATCATAATATCATACTACATTTATGGATTTCAAATTATCTCTTTTTTTTCACATGATAACTTCAATCTTTCTCAACAAAATTACATCTATTTCAATCAATTAAACACATATAGATTTATTATAGATATCATCGATTTATTGAGAGTGAATCGAAACTTGTCGATCATCCTTTATTATTCAAATGTTGTTTATCTTATTAAAAACAATCTTCGTAATTCTTGAGAAATTTGAGTAAAAGCTTTTTTTTTCATATAATCAAATTAATTATAACCATGAATTCAATTTATTCACTAATGGAAATCATCTATATTTAGTCACCATTTCATTATATTGTAAATAAATAAATAAAAGAAGTTTAGTCTTACGAACTCTTAATGTTTACTTGTCATATTCAAATATAATCAAATATCAATTAATATGATAGCATGTCATGTCAGAATATATACCTGTTATAACTACTCGACTCATTGTTTGCCATTCATAAGAAAATATGTTTAAAATATTTTATTATACAATTTAGAAAAGTATATATTTAGTTAAATTTTAGTGCCTTTTGAAAAGTTAATATTAGTAAATTAATTCGATATATTAAACATGTTTAATGCTTTTGTTTTTTTTTTAACAAATCATTTTTTCTAACATTACATGACTTTGTCTTCCTTTGAACAAGGAAAAAACTGACATATTCAATAAATCATGTTTCTCGCTCATCATGAGAACTATATGAATCTAAATAAAAATCAATGTAAATAATAGATTGCCTCTTCTTCTTTTTTTTTTTGTTGTTCCTATTAGATTCTTATTTTATAGATGGATAAAAAAATAGCTTTCAGTAGCGTAAGTTGAATAGATTTTTTTTTGTTTTTAGTTATTAGTGATTATAGTTTATTCTTGTTGACGAGAGGAAATATATCCAGCTATCAATATGTCTTTGAGTCTAGACTATGTGTATCATGTAGAAATTAATAAACTTTGGATATCCTTAAAAAAGTTGCTACTTATAACTTGTTTCAGAAATTTTGGACGAAGTCATTCAAACGAGTAAGTCTCTCCAGGTGACAAATTGCTTTTGAATCGAGACGATGTTCATTTGATGAGTATTAGTGAGTAATAAAAATTTGACTAGGTTTTTCAACAAAAAGCTGTGATCAAATGAAAAATCGACTTTCAACTTCAAAGTTTGCATGAACAAACTTCTCAATGAAATTAATTCATTGAACAAGTTGTAAGTTTTCTGGTATCTCCTATCATGAAGTATGGAATATTTGAAATTCTCTTATGTGTAAAGGCAAACTTTGTTCATATACTTACATCTCTAGAAAGAAATTACTAGTTATACAATCAACTAATCTCATGAAGAACTTTATTCCTTCAAAGTTTGAAGTCAAAAGTCAATTTTTCACGTAAGTTTATTGAAACATTCAGGAATATTTCGATATTTCAAGAACGAAGGCCCAGAAAACCAAACTATTCTAGAATTTTCTATTAATCATCAGTACTCATCAAATGAATATCACCTAGGTGAACAAGAGATTTGACATCTGGATAGATCCATTCGTAAGATATGAACATTTCAAGATAGAGGTTCTTTCTATAGATAGTAAATATAACATGCATTCTTTGAAAGTTTTATATCTTGAAGGAACTTTATTTTTAAAAAGTCTGAAATTTTTTTATGCAAACTAGTTTAGTTGTAGGTTTTATGTGAACAAAGTTTCAAATGAAATTTCGAAAATATGAGTTTTCACATGGAATGCATACTAAAAAGTCGATATCTCACTAGAAAGAAGTTTCAAACACCAAGTCTTCTGAAGATGTTCATAAATTATTAGAGTCTGCATCATACGAATAATCTCGACTCAGAAGTTACATGACATCTAGGAATATTCCTTTGTTATTTATAAAAATAAACAATTAAAGTCATAAAAATTCTTACTAATTTTCTTTTCATTTAGTTTTGAATATATTATTTAAAATAATATTGAAAAACTAACTATATCAAAATTGAAGTTGTTCAATTTTAACATTGAGAATCAGGATGCAATATCGGTTCTATATCAATGCAAGATGATACTTTTTCTATCTCAAATTCATATTATTATTAATAAGCAGATAAATGATGAGTATTAATCTATTTTTGTAAATTATTTCTTTTTTTAATTCTGTAATAAAATATGTTATGTATCGACAATGAAACTTGTTTTTTTTGTAGATTATTTCTTTCAAATGCCGAAAAGAAGTTTACAAACAACAATATTAGATGGAAATTTAGAAAATATTTCACCTTGTCATCGTGATAATATGCACAAACCTTATTCGTCATCGGATTATGAAGATACGATTCCTGTTCCAATACAAATATTTTTATGGCGACAAAGCAGGTAAGGCTTTTTTTTTTCATTTTAAGAAAACAAAAAAATATATTGAATATATTTCTAGTCCATTTCTTAAACAAAAATTTGGCAATTTAACTGAAGCATCTGCTATTGTAAATATTATATTAATATTCATTTAATAAATTGAGAATGTTTTTTTTTTTCGTCTCTTATTCATATAGATTTTCGATCGAGTACTTGTTCAAAATATCTTACATGGTTTATCACCGTGTCTCACTGATGCTATATCAAGTATTCCAAGATGGTTGTTAATGAAAGCAGTTAGTGTATTTTATTTTGTGTATATAATTATGTCTCTTTACTTTTATTCAAGGCGTTTCCACATGTAATACACGCGTGTTCATCAGTCATTGAACATAATCTTTGTTCGGGTCAGCAGCAACAACAATCATTTCCTCCGACTCATTCGTCATTACTTGGTCCTTCATCATTATCTTATTCTTCAACATTTTCAACACAACTTCAAATTCCATCTAATCATCCATTACCAATATCTCTTACTCCAGCAATGAATTCAACTGAATGTCAATTAAACCAATCATATTTTTCTCATCGTTTATCGACTACATCTAATCATGTATTAAATCCAACAGAAATTCGTCTTTTTCATACATTACATTATCTTATATTACATTCTAATGAAACCAGTGATCAACCATTGTCATTAAATACAATACAATTATTTATTTATTTATTTATTCCATATATTCATACATATTTACGTAATAATGAAAAAGAATTTTTATCAAATTCTGATCTTTCTCAAGGTATGCGTCTTATTTGGCAACCATTATTTGAATATCATCAACCAGATGTTCGTATATTTAATGCTCTTGTTAAACCTATTGTATTAACAAATAATCAACAAAAACAAAGATTTTCTATTGATAATAATAATCGGCATCATTGTTTATCAGGTGTTATTCAATCATCAATACAAAGATCATTATCTGAAAAACAACATTTATCTGGCTTAACAAAACACTTATCTTTAAATGCCCCGGCTAATTATAATGAAACAAGTAATATAAGTTGTTTTCAATTGGAAATAAAACCTGAAGGAAAACAAAAATTAAGTACATCTATGCTTACTGATTCGAATGCAACAACAACATACAATTCTATAGCTGATCTTTCAGTTTATGGAATGACAAATAATGATAGACAAAACCGAGCACCACTTGTAAATATGAATTCGATTTGTTCAGCATCAAATTTAAGCCGATTAACACTATCACCACAAACTCCAGGTTGAAATTATTTTTTTTTTTTGTATTTGAATACTAATAGCCGAAATATCCAACTCTGATTTGCTTCATACATACCTCACTCGATAGAATATATTTAGGTGAGACAAAGTCTTGAACGGTTCGGGTTCGTTAGTTAACGAAGATTATGATCGTTTTACTAAAACTTTTATGGAGAACTACTCATTTCCAAAACAATCAAAATGAAGAGTTGTAGTCTGAAATTTCTCTTATTAATATATTTTTCAGTCATTAGATAATCATAAAAATTTCAACGAAAATATACGTGTCTTTCTTGAGTTATTAAGTTTCCCAAAACAACGATTTATCATCGGAAGACATAATAATCTCTTCTACTTGAAAATTGAATATCTCGAGAAACAGATTTTCATTTTCGTTTAAAATATCAAGGCTATCTAATGATTATTAAATCTACTTATAGGCATAGTTTCAGAGCAAAACTTTTCAATTAAGATTTTCGGAAAGGAATGACTCTCAATAAAAATTCCAGTAAAACGATCATACCTCTTCATTTGTAAGCTATAGGACCAAAGTCTGTAAAGTTGTCTTACCTAAATATAATCTATCAGATGGCACATGAGAGAATCAAAACAGAGTTGGAAGCTTCAGATATTTCCTGCATTAGTAAAAAAAAATTAAAATTAATTGGACTTCATGTAATTAAAAAGCTAATTTCCAATGTATAAAAATTCATTTTAGTTGCTGATATGCCTAATGCTATCTCCGGTATGCCAACATCGGTTTCAACACCATCTATTCCTTTACATTTTCCTTGTTCTCAACAGCTACCAAATATTTCATATACTTCTTCAACTGATACACATTCATCAACTAAAGCACATACTTCAGAATTGCTTTTATTAGCAACTTATTTTGATATTGGAATAATACGAACATTATTTATTCCATCATGGTTAACAGATGGTTATTTATGGTGTTTAGAATATTTACATAAACGTATGATTAATATATCGGATGAAATTTTATCTGATGCTTTAACAACTGGTATATTACCAATAAATATTCTTCGTTGTAAAAGTCTTTCAATGCCACAACTAAAAATCCTAAATAAATATAATTATTATAAATATTTAGAAAATAATTATTTTAATGAACAAATAACACAAAATATAGTTGAACAACAATGCATGACAACTACAACGTCTAATTCAATTAAACAATCATCGAAATTATTAAATATACCTTTTCAATATTTTTCTGATAAATTTTCATACGATAAAAAATACAATCGAAAATATAATTTTTATAAGAAAAAAAGGTACGGAAAATAGTTTTTTAATATTTCCTTTTTTTTTTAAATTATCATTTTTCTTTTTTTTTTTTATATATAAAAGAGAAAAACAATTATTAACAAGAAAGTAATTGAACTATTCTCATCTTTTGTATTAATATTACAATTTCACATTTTTGTTTTTTTCATTGTAGTAGAATTCATTATATTGATGAAGATGGTATTGAACACTTGGATTTAGCTAATATTGGTCGTCATAATGATTTGCGTGCATCATCATCACCACAAAGTAGTCGATTTCGTTCACCAGATCCAACATTATTATTATTTAAAGCATCAATATTGAACAATAAAGATACAATTCGTCAATCTGCTGATTTCGATAATAACATAAAAGAAACATCTACTACTACACCAACAACAAATTTGAATGCAATGAAAACTTATAGTGTTAGTGATTCAGATATAAATTATAAATTTTTAGAAGAAATTGAAGAAGCACAAGGTTCAAATGGATATATCAATCGAAATGGTACAATTAATTTTGGTGTTATTTTAGCTGGTATACATGCTGTTATATGTAAAGAATATCATTTAAAAGCTTGTGAATTAGTTATGAATATTCTTGATGTTTTATTTGGTTTGGCTGTTATATCATCAGCAGAAGATGAAATCTATAAAAAAAAATTATCAACTGATGAAAATAATCATATGACAACAACAGATGATAGAGCAACTGGACATATCGAAGGATGGTTAAAGCAGATTGATGCAATAGAAGATGAAAAATTTCAATTAGCTCTGGATATTATCTTAAGGTAGAGAATCTATGAAATAGAAATGCACCCAATTCAAGAACTATTTAATTAGCTCTGACAATGTCGAGTACTGAAGAGTTCTCCTGTTTTGATTAATTTCAGATTTTTGAAAAGGATACAACTAATTAGATTGAATTTTTTTCCGTAGATAGAGCATTTCGAATAAAAAAGAACGTGTTACAAGACAAAATTTTCAAGAAAATTTTCGGAAAAACCTAGGTTTTTCTTTAGAAGTACATCCTGGTACATTATGATCCCCATCAAACTTTGTCCGATTCGATTAAAAATTTTTTATTTGAAATACGTCACACTATATCTCAGAGGTATTTTTGGGTGTTCTCGAAAATCTGATTTTTTCCTTTTTTTATGGGAGAAATGCGTAAAGAAAGGTTCGAAAACGAGGCCAAAATGTTGACTTTCAGAACCGATACTTTTAATTATCTATTGAAAACATTTCGACTTGATCGGATAAAGTTAGATGGAGGTCGTAAATATTTAGAATTGATAAAACTGGTGTTTTTGCGTTATGCGAAGTAAAAGAAAAAAATGTCAATGTGATTATAATGAAAGAAAAATTCTTAAATTCCGTAACTCTGCAACACCAAGCTATCTACAGTCGAATTATGTCTCTCATTGTGCTTAACACTTGAAACAATTATGCCTTATGTCCAAGTCGAAATGGAGTTTTCGGTCAAAAAAAGATGTTTGCAATAAAAAATACGATTATCATCACTCTTGTCGAAGGTACTAGGCTTATTTTCTTTTTATCAACGATAGAGGAGTGTTCAAAGTTTTCTATTTCATAGGAAAGTCACTATTAGACATTGCTTTCGACTGTCAGCATTCACATCAATACATATTGTAACCTTCAAGAGTTTGGAAAACAAAGAAATGCAGAATATCTCACGCATATTGTTATGATTTTAATGTCGAAGAGCAACAAGAAAAGTCAAGATAACCTTTATTCTGAAAATTAAAGTGATGCATGCAAACACAAGTAGCAGAATAAGTCACTGTATGCCTATTAAGAATTTCAATGTTTTGAATATAGAATGCTTTTAACTAAGCCCGTCGATATATATTTTTTTAATGTCAGACATTGATAACTATTCTGTAGTCAAATGAATATGACAGCAGAATATTCGATTTAGTGCCAGTCCCAAGAAACTTCAAAGTTTACTTCTCTAGTCTGTTTGGACTAAGATTTGCAATGTCATTTTTATTACGAAAAATCATCCTTATCATTTTCGTAGAGATTTTTATCTATATACTTACGACAGACAGAAGACAAATCATGTTCTAATGCACAGATATTTTTGGTCTAAAGTTTCTACTTTTTAATACAATAAAGAAAAAATTTGAGCAGAAGAAGATGATATATAGTGAGTACCGAAATCTCTACGAAGAATCCAAATAGAGATTTAAATAAAGGAAATTTTTTCCAAAAGAAATATACGAAAATAAAAAATAGAATCAGGTTCTCAAAGATAGAGGCTCTAGAAAATTCGTAGACTAGTTTCTCAGCACCGAGAGCCCGTATATATAATTTCACTTAAATTACATAGAAGGATAGAGTAAACAGTTTTTTACTCAATGAAATGTTTTCGAGTTCTCTGCGAGATTCTTTAGCGGAGATACAACAATCTTATGAAAGCGTCTAAAGTCTTTTCTTTTCCAATTTTCTATATAGGAATCATTTTTTGAATTTCAATTAAATTCCTATATCTCAGCCAAAAAAAGCGCTACAAAAAGTTCTACGATGTCTCATTTTGTAGAAGATAATTTTCTCTATCTATCGTTCTGTGTAATCTAAACGTAATTATATTTACTAACTCTAGGCGTTGAAAAATTAGGGTTCTGATTTTCTGGCATCCCTATCTTTGCAAATTTGATACTCATTTTTATTTCGTTATACTCTCTATTTAAATCACTATTTAGATTATTTCTAACGCTTATGATAGCAGAAAAATTGAAAATAAACCTTGTTGAATAATTTTGGTATACATTGTATATTAATATGAAAATCATTTTAAGTTTCGATTAAAGAAAACTCTTCTAACAAACTCTTTTAATCTTTTTCGAGATTTACCAGTTTCGTAATACCTAGCGAAATAGTGTCTAAGACTGTAGATTATTCTTTTTCCATTATTTTCACTGTGATCAATCAGCAACTGAATGCTTCGAATTTTGAAAATCTAAAAATAAAATACAATTCTTTTTCTTTTTTCTGTATTTTTAGAATACTCAAACGATTAGGTTGTTCAAATTGTCAAGCACGTGGTCGTAGTTTTACTATTGATCAATTACGTGGTAAAGCACGTTTACTATTAAATAAACTTCGTTTACTCCATCAACATCGATTTGAAAAGTATAAATTTTATTTTACTGTTTTTAATTAAAAATTCTTTTTTTTTTTATTAGATGCTTTCTAAACTTTGCTGTTCATGCTGATCTTGTTCATATACTTGATATATTACATGTTTTATGTGGCTATTGTGTTGAATCAAATACTGGTCTCGCTCATTATGCGCCCTATAGTAAGGATCTTCTTCTTCTTTTTTTTGTCTTAAACTAATGTTTATTGTTCAGTTCCAACTAAACCTGATATACATTTACGTCAAACATATTCAAATAATTTTGGTAATACTCATCTTGGTATAGGACCAAAAGGTATTGATGGTTTTATATTAAATATTATATTTAAGCCATTGGCTATTCGATTAAATAAGATGGAAGAATATTTACTAACTCCGGAAAATGTTATTTTATATAGTGAATGTCGAGCTTTTTTAATTTATATTAAAGAAAATCATGGTGGAATATTTCGTTTAGCACTATTTTCATCATTAATTGATCCAGAAAAAAAACTTCAAATATTACGACAAACAATAAAAGATAAACTTATTCAACAAAATGATAGTAGAATAAAAGTGAGTTTACAAATTTTCTTTCTATGACATCTTGACTTTTATTAAAAGATTTCTCGTAATCATGGTTCAACTGACGATATTAACGAAAGTATTGATCAACAATTACAAACACAGCCTACTACAGAAGGACAATCACCAATTAATAGTAAATTAAAAAGTACAGAAAAAAAAAACAATGTTATTTTATATTTTATTTTTTAATTATTAAAATTAAAGGTACTCAACTATTAAGTGGGTCACTACCGGGATGTGATGATTATAGTTCATATGAACCTCAAGAAGAGAATTTATACGTTGATTTAACACTTGTTCGTACGGGACTATTACGTTTGAATTGTCTTATAGAATCATGTCCGCCGGGTTCATTACCTGATCCGCAATTCCTTGATAGTCTACTCTTTTTGGTTTGTTTCAATTATTTTATTATTATTTTGTTGAAAAATAACATTTCAAAGTTTAGGATGCACCAATTATTTCTAAAGCAGCATTTCTTATTGAATGTGCACATTATGTTCGATGTTGTTCATTAGGACAATGGCCCGTATGGATGCGTATGAATATGACAACATTTCGTCCACATGATACATGTACTGGACGTGCAAGTGTAAATGTAAATTTAAAATTAAATAAAATATATCAAGCAGCAGCAGCTAGAATGTTTTATATTTGGGGTGATGTAAGTTATTTTAAATATGAGGATAATAAAAACATGAATGTTATATTTTATTAAAGGCTCTTTCATCACAACTTGAATCTATATTAGATATTGAACAACAACAAAATTCAACAACATATTTATGGAATAAGGATGAAATATTTGAAGATTATTATAATGAAGGTAGAAATCATAATACTTACGTTTATATATAAAAAATTTATAAATTTTTCTTTTCAGCAATTGTTAATCCTTCTGGTCATGATTGTCCATATTCATTAAAATTAATAGTATGTTTACTTCTTTACGAAATTACATCATTTCTACGTGAAACATATGAAACATTACCAAAACTTTCAACATTACAAACAGGAGGAGTTAATAGTCAACAACAACAACGCACTAATAATTCACAAAATATTGTCGATACATCATCAAGTATTACAGATAAACGTTTATCAGGTCGTCGACGTAAAGATAGTGTTGTTTCACAAGCATCAAATAGAAGTACAGTTTCATTATCAAGTGAACAGCAACCACGTACGTATTGAAAAACAAAACAAAACAAAAATTTTTTTAGCCATTTTATTAAATATTATAGATTCACCACAAATGTTATCAACAACAATAATAAATATGAATCCATCAACTTATGAACGACATATTAGTTTTGCTATTAAGAGAGAAAATGATTCATATGAAAATCATCATACAGCTGTTATTATGAATGATGATGATGTTATTGGAGTTGCAGATGGATATTCAGCATCTAGTATTTAAAAATGATAAAATGAAACTAACTATATGTATTTATTCGTTATTTGTTTAGTTTCATTGGCAGCAAATAAACGAAGAAGTGTAGCTAGTTGCACTGTGAAGTCAAAATTAAATCGACGAAATAGTATTAAATTAACAAAACTACCAATAAGAATGAAAGATACTGGAAAAAGTAAGAATGATTTAAGATATATAACATGTTGTCTATCAATATACATTAATTCCCTTTCTTTCTATTTTAAGAGTCCAAATAAAGTCTATCATTGAAATTAAAATTATGAACTTTGGAGTTCAAATGATTTTATGCATTCATTTTTTTTTCTATAGGTTACATTGAATAGCAAAAAAAGTTTCCAAAAGAATTATGTATCAACGAGACAGGAGTTTCGAACATGTTTTTTCTTTCATTACAAATAAAAGCTGTTTCTTTTTATAAAAGAAAAAATTCTCAATCATACTTATTGTGGCTTGTGAAACGTAGGTTTCTTAATCAAACGTAGAAATCAACTATTATTCGACATACTGATGAACGAACTTCTCTAGACGTCCACTTCCAATTTCAATGATTTTTTTATCTTAGGATAGTACTTAGTATTCTAATCAAAATCCTAAAAGGATTTGATTTTCTATTAGCATTGCAAGAAACGAAAAGTTTTGAGATCTGGTAAGATAAAGTGACATCAGCAGCAATATACTTTACTAGAGATGCGGTACAACAAGAAAAAGATTTTGGCAGTTGAGACTAAATTCTTAGTATTTGACCTTGAATTTGGATAAGAATAATATAAATAGTTTATATTTCGATAACGGTCACCACCTGCAAATTATTTATGTGACTTTGATCTATTCTAGATTTGTTTCACCTCTAGTTTCTATTTAGACTTGGTGAAGCTATTGTTTTTTTAATATTTCTTTTTCCCAAATACTGATGTAGGATTCCAGATCTTCGAAAAATCATATTTTTGAATTTTGTCTTGAAACGATTTCCATTTGAAAGTCTCACACAGTAGCTTGCTTGAAGAATTTCCATCTTCGAGATACGAACTTTACGCTTCGAAAAGCGTCTATTTTTGAAAAGTTTGTACTAGCTTGAAGACACAAAGTCTTGAAACAAGTTATTGTATGTGAGATCTTCAAATGAAAGTAGTTTCAAGACAAAATATACAAGCACGATTTTTCTGAAAATCTGAAGCCCTACACAGACATCTGGTGAATAGACGCATTAAAAATTTAATACATTCACCAAGTCTCAATAGGAACACAAATCCATTTCCAATTTGAAGTAAAACACTATATCGTATTCCAAGGTAAAAAATCATTGAAATCTACAGGAGATATCTTGAGAAGTTCGTTGGTAAGCATTTTTGCTACAGATATTAATAGCACTTGCGTTCAAAAATCTGTTTATTTAGGGTGATTGTGTCGGCTAAAGAAATACTTGAGAAAGAACAATTAGTTCAGACTTTCCTGTTATACAGAGGAAGTTCTAACACAGCTCTTCAGCCTTAAATGTACATCTCATATATGCTGAAGTCTAGGAAGAATATAAAGAGACTTTACCGACAAACCCAAGATGGTGAAAACGTGAGTTTCAGTAGATCTGCAAAGATCAACAATCACTCAAAATTATATGTTTTAATGTTTGTTATTATATCTCTGTTCATAAAGGTTTAGTCTAAAATCTGACTAATCGTTCTATGGTCTCCAAATTTGTATCTAATAAGCTTGACGTCTATCACTGCACTATTCAGCTTATTCTTTCGATATAGAAATCAGTTTAAAATTTGAAAAAATCAATTCTGAAAAGATTTGTTTGTTTTGTTTTATTCATTTCTTCAGCTGCACATCGTTCATCGTTTCGAGCACGGCGTCGTAGTCATGTATCAAATAATTCAAGTGAAGCTGATTTTCATCAAAATAATATTGAATATTCAACTATGGAACCAACAAATGAATATCCAACTTGTACTGATGATGAATATGATCTTGAAAAATTTGATAATATTATTAATACACGACCATTTCCATGGACAAAAGTTATTATAAGAATATTTAATAATGTTAATTTATCATGTGATCATCAAATAAAATGTTTACCGAATTGTTATGAAAAACAAACAAAAAGTTGTAAAAATCTTCTCAATGCATTATTAAATATGTATCAATTATCATCATTATGTTCTCATTCATCATCAACACAAACAAATTTAAAATCTCCTGAGACAATACCACATAAAACACAACGAGTAAACTCTTTCTTTTTTTTAGTCTACCATTTAATATTAAAAAAATAAACGTTTATTTCATAGTTTTCAACTTATTTTTTTGGTGAACAATCTACTGATTTACATATGAAAAAAAAAATAAACACACATTTTAAAACTATTTCGACTTATCTTGAAAAACAAGTTTGATTCATTTTTTTTTCTGCGGAAGATAACAATTTTCTGTTAATTTCTCTTTTTCAGGTTGGATCATTAATACAAATTCCATTAATGATACTTTGTAAATCATCAGTTTTATTAGACGATGAGCATTATTCACAAATTCTTCCTCTATCTTGGGAATTATTACTTGATGGAAATGAAGAATTATCTTCTTGTGCTGGTAAGAACACAAATATATTTCAATTTTATTATTATTATTTTTGTTTTTCTAGCAACAATTGTTATCCTTACAGCTGCTCGGGCTAATCACCTAGTCGAAAAATTAATTCATGCAGAAATGGAAAATTCTTCTGCATTAATTCGATATAATGCAATATTAAAATTTAAAATTTTATGGCGTTTTCGTCATCAATTTTGGATACGCTTAGAAGATGGTGCACATACAATGATGAAGGCAAGTAGGAAAAAGCCCCCAAAAAAAAATTTACTGATATTTATTTGATCTTATATATAGATTCTTCCACCAAGTATTGAATTTGTTTTACCATCACCAACACTTGGTGTGGCTAATCTTCAAACAGTTGACCCACCCTGGATGCCATATGTTAAAACACTTGTTCAACAAGTTGCACTTAATCAAGAAGAAGTTGTATGTTAATTTTAGTTTGTTTTTTTTTGTTCTGCAAACAAAGAAGATTTGAACATTTAGCGAGCTGTTGTTACAACTAGTAAAACACGGAAGAAACATCAACAAGAATTAATACATTCAGCATTAATGACAGAAGAAATAAGTAAACGTGTAGCAAGAGAAAATTTTTCGATGTCAATTGTTTCAATGTTACGAGCGGCATCATTTGAACCACTTTTGCATCAGTCGAGAGATGATGAAGAAGAAGGTTTGATAGGATTCTATTTTTTAGATTTTCAAAAATAAAATATTTATTTTTGGGAATTTTTTTTCAGCACATGTTGATGATGATCGAACTGTTGATGCAAGTATACAACTTTGTCAAGCACAAGGAACATTTCCATCGGTATTGGGTGCAGCAATTTTTCATCTTGTTGAAATGCTTGAAGATGAAGAAATTACTGACAATGGTGCAATAAGTATGTTAGGAGAAAAATAAAAATAAAAAAATTTTTTCAAACTTTTTATTTTCTGAAAAGACATTTTTTTTGTCAAAATGTGAACAAATATTCACATTACTATGACTTTCATGTACTTAAGTAAAGGATACTTCTAGATATTTAACTGATTAATTTGTGAACACATTTTTACTAGACATATAAGAAATATGTTGGCAGTACGATATTTAAAGCAATATCAGAGATACATGGTTTGCAGAAATTTCGTCCCGGATTCCAATTTAATTAATTAATCTTGATAAAAAGCTTTATTTCGATGAATAGTTGATATATTTCAAACCCATAAATACTATGGAATATATCAAGTATTTATCAAGGTACAGGTGTCTTATCATTGTCGAGACTGAGCACTCTAGTTAGGAACTTATTAATAACAAAATATTTAATTTCTTTTTCTACTGTAGAAAATTCTAAAAAGAAAATAGAGCAGTTCTTATTATGTCAGGATCAATATTGTTATGGATTATTTCAATGATCTTGAAGATAGAGTCATTGATAGTTGACGAATTAGAATAGCTAATGAGAGATTGTCGGAAATTGCAGTTAATCAGTTTTAGTCTTTCGATAACTTCTAGTAATCTTTGCTTTTTTTGGGAGGGGAACAAGACTGTTACTAAGTGATGGAATATTTTAGTAGGACATTCTGCTCTCTATCGTTGATGACAATTGTTGTGTCCTTCGTGTTCTAGAATATAAAGAAGTTCATAATAGTCTGAGACAACTTTCTTAAGAGCTTTACTCAGAAAAAGACAATTTTCGTCAAAAATATAGAAATCGAGATGAATACATAAAAAGGGAGCTCGAGGTCGGATCTTTCACGAACGGCATGATTTTTTTGTTTGGTATCTCGTTTTTTCTAAAATTTTGCGTCTTTTTCTGCTTGAAAGACATGGTTTTTTTTTTCGATGGAGCGAAAAACCTTATTGTGCTTTTTTTCTATTCATGATTTTTTGATCGTGTATCCCACGATTCTCGAAGAACCTTCATTATAGTCAATGTCTTTTTTTTAAGAATATATGAAGATGTAGGACATGACAGAGTTCGTTTCTTGAATCAAGCTTTGTTGCTATTATGTAAAAGAATAGTTTTTTCAGACATTGAACTTTTGCTTCTATAAAAGATAAGAATTTAAAAAAGAAACTCTGTCATGCCCGGCATTATGACATGCTGTTTTGAACAAAAAAATAACTAAGTCTACACAATGAAGGCCCACAGAGAATTTTTGGTTGACAAATGAGCTATTTTTCGATTCTTGTTGGTTGAATATCTTGTAAAACTGTTATAGTATAAAGCTGAAAATGTTACCTTAGTCTCTCCACTGCAACTGCAATATATTCTGAACATTTCATGCGATTTATATATACTTAGTCCTAGATCAATCTTTAAGAGACGGGAGGCTTTACACTGCTTGTTTGTGCGCACTATGATTTTTTCATTTTATTATATTTAAAATCCTTGACAAATTTTCTAAACATTTTCTCTTTTATTTCAGTATCTGGAGCAGCTCGAAAAGTTCTCTGGACTTGTTTACTTGATGAACCAACATTACTTATTCGTTTCTTTTTTGAAAAAATTTCACATAAAGAACGTCGTGTAAATCATTCAATCCTTTGTTTTTTTTTTCTTTTTTTTTTGAAATCTATTTCTTTAACAATAGATAAAATCACTTCAAAGTCTTCATCGTCTTATGATCTATTTTACCGATATTCCACCTCAATTTGCTCATGCTACTTTCAATTATGTTCTTGGTTTATTATTAAGTATGGTACGTTCACCACTTGATGGTTCACAAGAATTAATTGCTAATGGTCTTGCATTACTTTGGCAAATAATACCTTATCTTCATGGTCTTGTTTTAAAAGATTTAAAACAAATTTTACGTAAAGAACAAGCTGAAATGCTCATATTAGTAACTGGAAATATCCCATCAACAAAAAAAGTTATTATTCATGGTCCTGATGTATCACAAATTCCAACACAAGCTATTATATCTGACGATACACAATTTAGTAATGTTTTACAAGAAGCATTAGAATTTTTCGGTATTCCTGATTTAAAACGTGATCGATATTATTTAGTTGATGTTAAAACAGGACAAATTCATATACCTGATACTTATGTACGAGATTTTTATTTTTTTCGACGAAATATTCATCCACAATTATCATTAGTTTATATGGATATAAAGCAATCACAACAAGAACTTGAACAAATGTCTATTTTTTTAAAGACAACTGAATTATCAAAAGTTTTATTTGCACGTTATTTACTTGAAAATACACCATTTAATCAAATACATAATTGTATTACATTTTTTCATGATGAACTTATTAAAAGTCCATTATTTCCACGTAAAGCATTAGAATCAGATTTTAATTTATATACAACAATACACAACAAAGAATTATTTCATGTAGATATGTTACATAAATATAATTGGTATGTATTTTTATTCAGCTTCTTTTTAAACACTTTATTGAATTTGAAACTAAAAAAAAAGTCAACTTGTCTTGGTCATATATAAGCGAGTCCTTTCTACGACAAAAAGACAGAGAGAAGACTAAATGTATCGCAAAAACAGATCATCCAGTTTATTTTAAAACTAAATACAAAGCTTTTTATTTGAATCTCATGTGGTTCAAATCGAGCAAAAACTGTCGGTAGACCATTCGATATAATGTACGCTATATTAACGATTGTTTCATACTTGAAAAGGTTGGCTACTATCTGGCGTCATTCTACTGCATTAAGTCGATAGTTATTCTCTAACTCGATAATGTACTAACGGTAGAACATCGGTTCTTGTAAGTATCGCAGCATAACGGCAACAGTGCAAACAAATGTACAACATGAATTGTGAGGAATAGGGCTGTTAGTTTTTTCGATATATCTAGATTCGTTGTATATAATTCTTGTTGGGCGTTAGAATAAAAATTCGTTTTCATCAAAGATATTCGATAATCACTTCAATATTTTTAAATAGTTTTTTATGAGACTTCATGTTTTAAAAATATGAATATCATGACAATACCTGTAATTTTAGGAATGATAATTCATACGACAATAATCAGATTAGTTGTGTGTTATTAACGAAAAGACTTAATGTGAATTATATCAAAATAAACTGTTCGATCTGTATAGCGCTAAGGAATCGTGAAATTATTCACGGTAGTAGACAATAATTTCGAACTCTCTACTAACAAATCTATGCTAACTCCAAATCACAATTCAATATTTTTTTTAATGCTGAAACCAAAAAACCTTCTGTGCTCATGTCTATAATCAAGATCTAATTTTAAAAAAAAGGAAGACAATAATATGAGTCATTTGTTGACTAAAATATATAGACAGAGAGGTTAGAGAAATCTCACAAATTATTTTATAGATGTGAGCTGAAATGATTTTTCTAATGTCGAGGCTGAAATAAAAGTTACTAAATGGCATATACCCTCATTGGACAATCTTCTTTTACTCTCTTTATTTCCAACATGGTATAAGTCTGACTGTCAATAATGACTTTTAAAAGTTAAAAATATTGAAATATTATGATTATAGCGGTACATATCGTAATAAAAATATAATCAGAAAGAAAATCTTCACAAAAAAGTATGTTAAACAGAAACAATTGAATTCATATATATATCTCAGTGCTTTATTTCAACTGTTACCTGTACTCGAATATAGTAAAGTATAAAAATCAAAATTCAATTTTAGTTCTCATATTCATGTAAGAATGAGAATTTTTCTATTAAAGAAAATCTTATCTTCGTTCTAGAGCGTTTTAATAGAAAATCTTGAAGCCAACTGAATGTTTCGTACAATCTGAAGTTTTCTATACTCTGATATATTCATACCAAACAAAATATTTAGGGACGTTTACTAAAACTTCACGTTCTGATCGAAATTTTCTGAGCTTTTGCAATAAATAAACAAAGAAATAACATATTTCTTTCTAATACAAGTTTTATTTGTCATAATAATTCATTTTATTTTTAAGGATCAAATTAATTGCATGTATATTTTTTAATATGGATGGTAAAACCACTACAACATCGGATATAATTCTATTTCTTTCCGTAATCAATGGTTCATTTATATTACATTGTGAAGACTTAGCTATGCTACGTTTTTGTCTTGCAACTTATATAAATATCGTTAAACATTTTCGACATATATTTGCCACGAATGGGTAAATAGAGAACGACTTTTTTTTCTTTTATTTTTTCTAACAAGAAAACCTCCCTAACTGATAGCATTTGTATGAGCTCGTGTTCTGCTCATACGTAGCAGTCCTAATGTAGATAAAACCCGTAAAAGGTTCGTTCTATTATGCTTATCTTCTCGAGTTACTGTCACTTTACTCAATTTGTAGTCAACTGCAGAATATTTCGAAAAATGAAATTACCGACATTACGATCAGCTCAATAAATATAAGGCAGTACGAATGAAATATTTTTAGAAATATTGGGAATTCCAAAAGTTTTAGAAATTTCGATGATTTCGGAATATCCTACAAAAGATTATACANCTCTACGAGGCAAACTTTTTTCAACTCCGAAATTTTTTTTGTTCTGTTTGATTTTTTTCAAAATGGTTCGATCCTGAAAGTCTACCAGGATGGAACAAACGTAATTTTTCGGAAGTTTAGACTGCCCCACAGAACTCTAATTATGTTTTAAATTTCTCATATCGACATGCCCTTTGAAGATTTGTTTATTTCTTTGTTCACGATTGTACTTTGTCTCTAGTTTATATATATACTTTTCTCTTTCTTTGCTTTCATTCATCGTTTTTTTCTTTTATAGATTGGTACTCTTGTATAGATAACACACAAAAATGATAGCGTATAAAGTAACAGTTTTTTTTCAAGCCTATCGTTCATTCTTTTTCCACCGCAAGATTTCCGTATAAGAAGTATGATTTTATTGCTCCTATTTGAACACATTATAGATGCTTGTGATATACTGAAAGCTGCTATCATCACATGTTCATAATGTTTTCATCGTCGTCATCAAAGGATGTCTAGAAAGACGTCTGAAAGCGTTTCATACGAAAATAAGTGGAAAAATCGAGCAACTATTTGGACGAAATAATCAAAAGGATGAATTGTCGTCATTTTTAATTCGTGGAAGATTGGATTTAGTGGGAATAAATCAATACTTATTCACATAGAGAACCAGGATGTTACATGATATCTTCCATCGATCGACAGAAAACTAGATCCTAAAAAAACAATTCATACAAAGCGCAAATGTCAATATGAAAAATTTAAAACATAATTAGAGTTCTGTGGGGCAGTCTAAACTTCCGAAAAATTACGTTTGTTCCATCCTGGTAGACTTTCAGGATCGAACCATTTTGAAAAAAATCAAACAGAACAAAAAAAATTTCGGAGTTGAAAAAAGTTTGCCTCGTAGAGATCTACACACAGTGAATAAAAATAAAAAGGCCATTCGATAATAACGAATTGAAATCGAAATACTACATTCACGATGATAAATTCATTGCTCGATTTCGAATAGAATTGTTAGCACTAATAGAAAAATGGATTCTTTAAAAATTCTTTATTCAGTTTTAAGTAATGAATATGTTGCGTTCGTTATCCTTTTCCTAGTTGCTGACAATGCAGATACTCTTGATGAAGCAAATAAACTTTATCAAGCCAATATTTTCGTTTCGTAATTATGATATTAAAGTGTGTTAAATTATATTATTCGAAAATGTATTTATTAAGAAAACATCAAGCTGATTGAACATTGATTTACTTAACATTGTATATAAGAGAAATTTCACAGCATTTGCAAAAAGTCAATTTGAATTTTTCTTTCGTACTTGTACTAAAACAAATGACTTATTTTAAGTATCAGTCACTTATTTAAACATAAAAAGAATACTAATCCTTTTCTAGTAATATTAGTGATCAGAGAAAGCATAGAATTCTTTATTTATTCGCTCATTTGTCTTCAACATGATTATTATTGTGATTAGTCTTCTGCTTGTCTTTTTCTTAAAGTATACGACCAATGACCCATAAAATCGATAGTAACAGCTTCGCAAGTAGTATACGAAGCAGCTATAAGTTGTGATACTTATTCAAAAATTGTTATTTTCATTTATCAAAGTTGTAAAATGAAATGAGTATTTCCCTCAAATTCGTTTTTCTCTTACTAATGTGTAATTTCCAAGAACATGATTGATAATAGTCATAAGAGAATAATGAGAACTGTTTTACACAAACAAGAATATAAGAATAAATTTAAAACTTGTAATAAATTCCCTAGACATATGGTTGTATTGACTTTAAATAGTAGCCTCTATCTGTTGAGAGGAATTTATGAAAAACTCTTGACTGATGTTGAAAAGGATAATTTTTTGAATGTGTTTACTTTAAAAATATCTTTGCATTCTTCGAAAAATTCTATAAGGCGAAACTGAAATAGATTGGATTTTTTTTTCATTTTTCTCACATTCTCTCGTCACCTGTAACCGCATACTGTACAATCCGTACGATACTTTAACATATAATCGCTATAGTAGCAGACACTTTATAAACGTGTTGATACATTTGAGATGGGAATGAATTGTTGTTCATGTTGGTCAAGTGTTGACTTATCTACGCACAATATAATCAATGCAAAACTCATCTAAACTTCGATAACAGGTAGAAATACACCTAAACCATAACCAATACAGCATATAATTCTGCTATCTGAGATACGAATTTATTGTCTTTAGTATTGTCGTATGTTATAGGTAACTTTTTATCAAATATCTCTCACCTCAAATTCATCGATACAAATATGAGTTTTTGTTAATAAAGACATTTTCTTTTCTCAATTATTCAAGATTGATACATAACCATTGTTCTTCATCATCGTCTAATACACCTACGTGATCGGTCATTTCATTCGGCGACGATGAATTAGATGTAGAATACAATGATATACATTATGTTTAAGAGGAAGTTTATTCTGCATTCGCCATAATTATATATTACGCTTCAATAGCACAGGTCTAATAGCACAATCAATATAAATAAAATAAAAATAGTGAAATTTTGTATTATCTTATGTATTTTATGATGCTTCGATCATTTAAAGAACCATTTTCAAATTAGCAAAACGAAACTTAATCGAATTATTATAATCACTGTCCAAACCACTGCGTACAATTTTAAATAACACAATCAATATTAATGAACAGATTAAGCAGATATGAATAAAATAAACATAGTGTAATTTTGTGGGTGTGACGGAGTGGGTGGATGTGAATGTTCTCTTCGAGCACGCCCACATTCATAAGCTCAAAATGACACTATTTTTTTTTTATTCTTATCGACACAAATTTAATTAAAATTCTTACACTTTCAACTAAAGACTATCATCAATGTTTCCAATGCTGACGTTTACAAATATTGGTTTTGTTTATATACATAGAATACTCACAAGCAATTAATAGAAACACAATGAAAGAAATGTCTTACAACAAATGTTCAGCATGTTTAATCTTTCGCAGCTGGTGAACAAATTATACTATTGCAAGATAATTTCTTCTGATATAAGTATTAAAAAGTTACTGTTTAAAAGATATGATATTGAGATTATTTATTTTCGCATTGATGAATGTGTCAGATGAAACATCAAAATAAGAAATTATTTTTACTATTTAATCATTGTCTTTTTATTCTTTCGTTATAATTTATATTTTGTTGGAATAAACTCATGAAACAATATCAAATGTAATTATTTAAGTGTATTCAACATCAATTAAACATTGATATGAAGAATTTTCTATTTTCGTTTAGAAGTCATTCCCAAGTGAATTAGGACGTGCTAGTTATTGTAACATTAAAATAAGCATTTCAACTGTTGAGATATTATCGAAATAAAATATAATATTATTGACATTATGCTCAATCAATTATTCATAGAATATCCAATTCAGAAATTGTTATAAAATTAGTTGATTTAGATTAAATAAAAAGGAACAGTAGGATAAATGGTGAAATTGCTCGGCAAAATAAATTAGTAGGTTCTTTTTGTGTCTTGTTAGTTTCAGTTGGTTGATATGACATAATTTCTGTCTCTTTCAGTATAGTCATAGGTCTTTAAATGTCACAGGTATTTGATGTTTTTCAAAATTTTGTATCACTATAGTTGTTAAAAATTAATCTAGTCTCTTGGAGTATATCACACTGATATCAACTTATCGCTAAAAGAAGTACCCCAAAATGAACATATTAGTGTTACTAGAAATACATGTCAATCGTGTTTTGTGTTCAGAATAAATGTTCATTCTGATTTTGGCACTTATATAATATTTATATATATATATGTAAGTAACCTTAAATTGAGATTTTACCTGATCTCCTCCTTCCGCCGACATTTTATTCTTTGAGATAGCTGTTCTTCCTTCTACGGATAAATCTAAAATGAAATAAGAATAATTGCTATAAGTTATTCTTACTATTGATTTAACTAGACATAAGATATGTTCGTATCAGTTATAGCTACAACTGGTGATGGTTATGAAGGAATTGTATGTGATTACCTTACTATTTACAGTAGCTGATAGTCACCATACATTAAATATGATATATGCAATCTGGAATCTTATTATTTTATTGAAAAACTTAAGAACTATTTGGTTTTCATCTTTTAGTTTCAGTGGAAGTTGCTCTAGTGAGCTTTTATGCTATTTTAGTTTGTAAGATTTAAGAAACGATGCATAATTAGATCACACAAAATGGAAGCTTTTTCAATGAAACCTTACCAATGCAATGTATTTGCCTTGTCTACTGTATTATTCAAATAATTATGAGGATGAAATAGTGATAGCCGACACTGATGAAACAATTTCATGTGATGTTCATCCTCGTTTTCTTCTGGTAGCGATAATTTGGTCAATTGCTCTATCTTTTTGAAACTGATCTTATATTTTAATAGTTCATATAATACAACGAAATCAGCATCTGTCATCGCTTCTATTTTCGAAGCTTTCCCAGAGATCACATAATTTATTTTAATGTCGAATATAAGACATTAGATATAGATATGCATTGTTTCTTTAACAAGACGGCTTCTTTCTTATTCAGTTGAATTGTATTACATGCTATTGAAAAACAAATTCAGGATCTTGAATAAACTCATATAGTTCTCAGAAAAGAAATCTTGGCAATCTCTCAACTAAGTAGTGTAGTTGGGCTATTACAAATAGATCTTCTTATCATTCACATTCACATGGTTGACTCTTTCAAACCGATTAGAATCAATCAAGAGTTTTTTTTTTATTATTATGAAGAATTCCACGATGTATCTTTTCAAAAATTACGTAAAACTTTTAGAAAATTCTTGGTAGAAAAATTTAATGTTTCTGTCTGAGTACTGTCGCTTTCGATCAGAACTAGAAAAGTCCCATTGTCGACTTTCTGCTTTCATTTTCTTACAATTTTCTGATTAAAATCGGTCGCATTTTATTCGGTTATGCATCATGTAAAGTAATAATCGTTCACATATCATTTTGGTTTAATTTTTATAAAAGTACATTAGAATAAATCAAATGGGTTTTTTTCTGGATAAAATTTTTTATAGAGAATTCGACGATGTATCTTATTCGAAAAGAAAAATGAAGATTTTTTTTTTATCTATTTATGCAGAAATATATGCAAAATAAATCATGTTTTTCAGATATTTTGAAGCATTCGGTATTATGTTTTTTTGATTGTTGTATATTTAGACAAGTCAATGAACACCATTTTGTTTCAATTATAAATGGACAACGTTCTGATTCTTTACATACACATGTTTCACATGGTCAGACAATTCTTAATGTATTTTTCGATCATAATATAAGTTCAATCAATGGTCAAACTGCAAACTCATCCTATTCATTTAATACAAATCGTTCTAAGATAAATTGAATCACATAAAAAGCACGAATATCATGTTTGTCGAATATAGCACTTGCGATTGTGAACGATCATGATGAATTGTAATTTTTTTTGAAATATTTTTCTCTTTTTCAATCTTTTATTTCATTTCGGTATAGCTTATTTTTGACAAGTTGAAAATAAAAAGAAATAATATATAAAAAAAAAAGCGTTTGTTTGCTCATTTTTTGCTTTTGCCACTTTTTTTGCCCTTCTTTTTCTTTTTGGCTTTGAGTCCCTGAATTTATATTTATAATGAATATCGAACAAAAAATATGAATTAAAATTTACTTTTCGAACTTTGTAACCTTGCCAAAAACGTTGAATATCTCCAGCTGCTCGCCAACGTCGTTCACGCAATGCCTTCTCCGTAGCCAATCGTTCTTCTTCAGCTTTACGTTCAGCCATAATCTATGCAGAAGAAAAAAGGTTTTTTTTTCCATTGATATAATTAATACATAAAAAAAAAAGAATTTTTAATACTTTATCATATTCTTCTTTTAATTTTTCAAAACGTTCTTCAAGTTCTATAAGTAAACGTTTTTCTTCCGTATACGCAGTTTCAATTTCATCAAATTCATCCTAAAAGATTTTATTAATCCAGTAAATTATTAAATATTCTTATAAGATAAAATATCTACCTGCTTTTGACGCATTTCATTATCATATTTTGTTAACCATGTTTCAAGTCTTTAAAAGAAAAAAAAAAAAAGAAAGTAGATAATTTTTGATTGACTTAACATAAGCTTCACAACCTTTTGTATTCCGGAAGATTTAAACGTGTATTAATTAGATCCTATGATCCTATCTTTCAATGTATTAACAATCAATATTTAAAAATAAAGATATAAACTGATTGACTAAGCTACCTTCGCTATAGACTATTCTTTCTTAGTAAAATAATTCAGTTATTATCATTGATCTATGGATCGGCTTACATATTTAATTGACAAGAATACTTTTTTTTTTACTCGAGTAATCTCCTTATATTTATACATTGACAAGATTTGTTAATAACATTGTATTCATTTTCTCCCGTTTTCATCCTACATTAAACACATATACATTGAATCATTTAATTTTTGACAACTAGTAATTTGCGTTGAATATGGTCATCTAGAGATAAAATGATTAATCTTGTTCAATTTATTTCATTCATGTTGAATGAATAAAATACTTATAGTCGAGAAAAAAAAATGAGTTCTTAATGAAGATCTATCAAAATCAATGTCAGGACATACAAAATAAAACAATATCAACCGTGATATCAAATTGATTAAGTGAAATATCATTATGTTACCCTGTTTCTTGACGCCATTTTTCTTTACGTAAATCAGATTCTGTTTTTTTATTTCGTTGTTGTTGTTCTTGTAATTTTTGTCGACACATATTTATATCCATTTGTAATTTATGTCTTAAAGTACAAACAAAAGAAAACAAAAATGTTTTTGTTTTCAAAATCATTAATTAAAAAAAAACTATATTAAAATTCTACCGTCTTCCTTCAGAATTTTTTGTTTCTGATATTTCAGCTGATTCTGTTTCCATTCGAATGCGTTTAAGCATTTCTTGTTGATTACGTTCAACATTATTAAGATCCGATTGAATCTTTCGAATTTCGTCATTGCGTGCTTTGATCTATAAACAATCAAAAGGTTTCATTAGTGACACACAAGGACAATAAAGAGAATAATTATGAGCACTTTACTATCGCTTTCATCTTATTCCATTCATTCGAATGATAGGTGAAGGATCATAGTGAATATCAACATACATATTATCGATTGAGGGTATCCTATCCATTAATGTATTAGTCTGATTAATCATATATTATCAAGGATACAAAAAGATAGATAGACAGATGTTAGTGTCAACTTATGTGCATGCAATATGAAATACACCGCATTTTGTTAACAATTCTATTTCCGGTGTGTCTCTTGTGTCCGTTTGACCTCTTTATAGCGAGAAAGAAAGGAGAGAAAAAAAAACGACACATTCAGAAAGAATAGGTTTATTAAACTTTCTTTATCTATCATTTGCATTTCTCTCTGGATTTGTTTCTTTCTGTCTATCTATCATTTTAAAGAAGAATAATATGAACACTCTATTATATGATCAAAATTCGTCAATCGATATGATGCAAATGTCTGAAAGTTTATCATTAACAAATACCAATGAACCCTTAACATCAGCAATAGAATATATAGACATGAATTTTGATGAACAATATCCAATAGATGACTTCTTATCACTTCAAATACGTATGTAAATTAGCTTTTTCTTTACTCTAATTCAAAATTTAAAATTTAGATTATAATGATGATATTCCATCATTATTAAATAAGAAGCAAAAATCATTAATGTCTATCTATGACAATAATCTACAACAATCAACAACTAATTTTCAACCGTTAGTTGGTATAATCGGTCGAAGTAAACGTTCTCAAGCATTTACAAAACGTCTTTTATTATCGGGTTTTCCAAAACCAATCTTATGTGATATAAATTCAAGTGAAAACGATCGAAATGATAAATCAAATTATGTATCATATGAAACATTCTATCAATTATCACCAACAATTGTTGTTATAACTGATGATTTAACAAGAAATTTTGATGATTTATTTCCTCAAGATAAATCACAATTAATTATTGATGCACGACAAATATATATTAAATATTTTTCGAAAAAAAGTTCTCGTTCATCATTATCTATTCCTGGTTCATATCGAGCTTTTGGAAATTTATCAAATTGGGAAATTGAAAATGGTACAAAACGTATTGGAGTTGCCATTGAACAATTTCCACCATTAAATCTTGTGAAATTTATTTATGATTTAAATTGTTTTTCACGTGGAATTTTTTTTCTGGATCAATATTCATATAATTATGAGCAAATAAAATCATTTCGTCATTGTTTATTTCCATTTATATCAATGACAATTATATTTATTTTATGTTTTATTTTTTCAATGATAGAACATAATGATGATATTTTAAATACAGTATTAATCTATCATATAGCAAGTTCTATAACAGCATCAACTAGCACATTATTGTTAGTATTATTATTTTTACTAAGACCAGTATTTGAATTAATTGAATTTATTTATTTAATGTTATTAAAAAGACAAAATACTCATGGTAGATAATATAAATTAATTTTTTTCTTTAATAAGTTATTTTTTTTTTGGTTTTATATTTAGAAAATGTTACATCGAAATTAACATTTATTCAATATTTGCTTCAATCAAAACATTATTTAGTATGGTATTCATTATCATTTGCTTTATTACATATGATATTTTTAATTTTTTCTAAAATTGATTTTAATTCAAATGTATTCATTTATGGTGTCTTTTTTGGTATATTTACTTTAATATTATTATTTATTATATCTTGTGTTCATTTTCCATGGATTAGTGAACGTCTTTCATGGAATGAATATCATTTTTTAATATCTTATGTCGGATCATTTTGTTTATTAATTGCTTTTATTCATGTTTTTTTTCATTGGAAATTTGAATCACATACATTTAATTTAAAATTTCTCTCAATGATTTTATTATTCAGTGTATTAATATTACGTTTTATTATTTATGGAATTATATGTCCAATTTTAAAATTAATTCAATATATTAAAAATCGACCATTATTTAATTCATCACTATAATCATCAATATATTATTAGGATATTCTTTTATCGTATTATATTTCTATATTATAGCAATAGTGATAAAAAGAATGATATTGATCATCAAAGGACAAATGGTTAATAATAACTGTATACGCGACAGATGTGATCATTCAATGACGAAAAACACATTGAAAAAAAAAAAGTACAATCACCATTCAACTTACGTCAGCATCACGCTCAGCGATAGCATCATTAAGTTCTTTTTCAAGTTTAGCAATAATAGCTTCATTAGATGAGAGACGTGTATTTAAATTCTTCATTTGTTCAAATTTTTCACGTTCTTCAAGAGGTGTTGTTAAAAATCTTTCCATTGCAGATTCTCTTAACATTTTTAATACTCCTAAATATATATATATATATATACATAAAAGAAAAAAAGAAATATTTCAAAATATTCTTTTATAATACACACGCATAATATCTTTTTGTTGTGGTAATAAATTATTATTTTGTAAAATACGTTTAATAGCATCAAAACGATTTTGTTGATGAACAAGACGACGAAGAACATTACGAATTGATTGTTGAATATAATAATGATAAGCAATTTTTTCATTAGCATTATGTGATAATGATTTATCAAAACGACGTGCATAATTTTCAAATTGTGGCAATTTTTCTAAAACAAAAAAAAAAAGACTTAATTTTTATTAGTTTGAAAAAAAAAATTGGAGAATTCTTATCATTTTACCAATAATATTCGACATTGATTGAAGTGGTGCATTATTTTCATATGCTTGTTTTAATTGTTCATGTCTATGTATTTCATTCATGGTTTCTCTAAAGAAAATAATCAGTTATTTAGAAATTCAAATCAAAATTCTAAGGTATATGTATCATACGTATCAATAATTGATTTAAATAAATCTGCATGTGAAACAATTATAGGCAACATTTCAATTAATTCCATTTTTTGTACAAAATCATCGAAAACAATCATAATACGTTGAGTTTCAACTGTTGATAATTTTGAACGAGCTGGCTCATGTAAACGTATTGGATCTAATTGAAGACGAATTGGTTTTATGTCAGATGTACGTGATTTATTTAATGGTGATATTAATGATGGTGAACTCATCATTTTTGTAGAGAAGAAAAGATAAGTACAAAATAGTTTATCTAAAAAAATAGAAAAACATTAGTTACAGCTGTTATCACATTAACGAAACATATATATATATACGCATGCAAAAAGAATTTGATATAGGCAGAAAAGTTATATCGAACATTAACCATGAAGTATGTAGAATCATTTTTCGTATCTATACTTGAAATTTTTGTTTTTTAGTATCTATCGGATTTTTGTCATTACTACAATATTCATTGCTGCATATCTTACGGAAGACGTAGCCGTTACTAATAGAGAAAAAGTACATGCTTTTGAATATGCTGTATTTCGATTGGCGCCTGGGAACATACATGAATGTAAGAAATTTCGTCACGATGTTAAACCATTTGATGATGAGGAAGATACAGTGGAAGATTATTTGACTATTGATTGTGAAAGATATAAAAATGCTGCAGAATGTTACAACTTATTTTATCCAAACTTGGATGATAACAATCCAACTGACAAGGCAGCCAAGGACGAATTCGATAACATTGGTATTGATTACATTGAAAACGCATGTGCTAATTATAAATAACGTATTTTGAATAATACCAAAAAAAAAGAAAAAGAAAATTATATTCAATCTAAACAAGAAATATTTCAGTTCATTTTTTATTTTATCAATTGGAAGTTTAATCTTCAAAAAAAGAATAATCTTTGGTGAAAGTATCTTTTTTTTCTTTATGAATAAAAAAATAAATAAAAAAATTCGATTGCTCTTTTTTTTTTATGTATATCCATTAATAAAAAAATCAAATTTAGTTCGAGATAATAACCATCGTGTATCTGACAATGTAAATATCAAAAGTCTAGTGTATTATAATTTATACTTAAGCGATATGTACCTTCTTGAGACACAATATCGAGAAAAAATGGAGACGTAGAAGATAGCTTCTCAAACATATTTTTGTTTGTGGTGAATCTCCCATTCGAATCATTAATCTGCCTTGGTGAAAAGATTCCTATGGACATTTCTGCATCGAGCTGAATATTTTTTTATGAAAACATTTGTTAATACAAATGTTTTTATAAAAAAATCTGTCTCAAACTTTTTTATTAATTTTAGGTTATGTTAAACGCTGGATCGACTAAAATTTTTAGTGAAAACATTTATGATAACATCAACGCAGTAGTATATATTATTTAAGATTTGGAAAAAAAAGAAATTTTTCAAGATTCAGATAATAACTTATAGTGTTCCTATTCTTTTTTCCTAGATTATCTCTTAAATATATTGCAGAGGATATATCGAATCACTCGCTTGATTTTTTTTTATACGATTGAGTAAAACAATCGTCTTTTGATTTCAGTTCTATTTCTACAGATTGTATTTTTATCATCCAATTAGAGTGCTGAAGCCGCCAATCAAGTACTTGAATTGGTACGGGTTCCCGCCTCTCTCTACGAGGGATTAGGCACAAATACAGGTGGTGCAAACAAAAATTTCTAGAGAAAACAATAAATTTTTCTAAATAACTAATTATAAAAACACAGTTCAGTTCAAGTCTTACATTAATTAGTTTATGTTTTTTTGAAAATATTTTTCTTCCGATAAAATGTTATTTACGATAGTATCTAAGTCAATTTCAAAACTACGTTCTATATAAACTAAAGATGAACTAGATGGTATGAATGAATGGGTACAAAGATTAACACTTACATCTATGCCCTCAAGGCAATAACTACTTATGTTGCATCATCAGTTTCACCATTTATAAGTGTTTCATTTCTATTCACAATAGCTCTATTACTGCATATATAACATTTTTCTTGTAATGGAATTTCTGTTTTTTTCTGATATAATAAAAAAACTTTTTTTTCCGGATATTCAGCTAATAAATTAGATGCTAATCACAAAATTGTAAAAGACAAAAGAATATATATAAAAAAAGAAGGCTTGGGGGCTCTTTCCATAGTCATAAAAAAAATAGTGAACTTTGTTTTTCTCCAATCATATGATATTAATTAATCAGCCTTCCATTGCTTTAATAAAGACAGATGTCAGATATACGTGACAAAAGTATAACCATATACATAGAATAAAACAAATTTCTAGCAATATGTATCAGTGGTTTCATATTAACCATTAGAATAGATAAAAATCAAGAGAAATAATTGCCTTCTATTGCTTCGCTGGAATACTGTCTACGGGGTACAAAGATGATGCATATGATTAGGTATGAATACAAAAACTCTTATCAGTCCCGTAATCTACATATAATATGAATCCGATAGATATCCTTCTATATATGATGTAATAAACTAAACCAAAGTAACTCATAAATTCTTATAAACTGATATGTATTGATGGGATCTATGTGTAATTATTCAATTCTTTTATTCTCATATTATCACTTCAGCTAATGTCTATATTCTGATTGATAAACTCAACTTCAAAACATAAAAATGCGACCTTTGAATTTTGTTAGGACTCAAAAAAAGGCAATTCTTGAGATTCAATCGTAGGAATATTTCATTCCGGTGAATCGTACAGGTAGATGTCCCTCATAAAACTTTTGTGAATAATAAAAACCTGAATTGAATCAATAATAGTATTCGTATATGATTCCAACAATAATCGAGCATACCTAAAAGCAAATTCACATTGTTTATCTCAACAATAAATTGCGTCTCTATGCCATTAACTCTATGATATCTATAGCAACTGCATGTTCCTTTTTTCTGCGATGATTTCAATCAAGTGCATAAGTATGTTGCAGTGAATTTATTATGTTTATATAAATAGAATTTTATATTTAATGTAATTGAAAAAAACAATGAATTTTAATTTTAATTTTTTTTCTTATATTCATAATTTTTCTTATTCAAATATTTTCCTAATGACTATAGACATTCACATGAATAAAATTGATCGTAGAATAAAGAAGAAAAAAAGAAAATCTAGGGACAATTTCGTCCTCTGTTCGTTCATCGTTTCTCCTTCATCATATTTAGCACTCGAATGTAAACAGCTGATAAACATAGGAGCTAGAATAAAATCTATCCATATATATGTATGTATATATCTATATATATCTATATTACCTCGTTAGACTATTCTAGTCGATTTCTCTCTTTTTTCTTCGAGTGTTCGTCCGATTTAAATTCTTCATAAACATTCACATATCGAATCTTACTCCGTTTAACTTATATCCTCTATTTATAGTTTAAAACAGTAAATATGACCAACAGTGAAGAACTTACTGTAACAACAACAACATCAACAACAATTATTGATACCAATATCAGTATATCTAATACAAATACAAAATCACTTCTTGATGATTCAAATTGGAAAGATAAATTAAAATTACCACCTAAAGATAATCGACCAAAAACAACCGATGTTACTGCAACAAAAGGACATAATTTTGAAGATTATTGTCTTAAACGAGAATTGCTTATGGGTAAACATTTATGAAAAAAAAAAAATTATTTTCTTTTCCTTAACAAATATAATATTTGTTTTAGGTATTTATGAAAAAGGTTGGGAAAAACCATCACCCGTCCAAGAACAGTCTATTCCAATTGCCTTAACTGGTCGTGATGTTCTTGCCCGTGCAAAAAATGGTACAGGCAAAACGGGTGCCTATACAATACCGATTGTTGAACGTATTGATCCAAATAAAAATGCTATTCAAGCAATAATCTTAGTTCCAACACGTGAATTAGCATTACAAACAAGTGCTATATGTATGGAATTATCTAAACATATACAATTACGTGTTATGGTAACAACCGGTGGAACATCATTACGTGAAGATATTTCACGTTTACAAGATGTTGTTCATATTGTTATTGCAACACCTGGTCGTTTATTAGATTTAGTTAATAAAAATCTAGCTAAAGTTGATTCATGTCGTGTTATTGTATTAGATGAAGCTGATAAATTACTTTCACAAGATTTTAATCATCTACTTGATGAACTTTTATATGCTATGCCACGTGATCGACAAGTTATGCTTTTTTCAGCAACATTTCCATTAACTGTCGATGATTTTATTCGTAAACATATGAAACAAGCATATGAAATAAATCTTATGGAAGAATTAACACTTAAAGGTATTACACAATATTATGCATTTGTACAAGAACGACAAAAAATTCATTGTCTAAATACACTTTTTTCAAAGGTATTTAAAAAAAATCAATTGAAAACTTAATATGAAGAAAATAATTTGTTTTTTTTTCTTTTATCTTGAAAATTTTAGTTACAAATTAATCAATCGATTATATTCTGTAATTCAACACAACGTGTTGAACTTTTAGCTAAAAAAATAACTGATCTTGGTTATAATTGTTATTATATACATTCAAAAATGCGACAAGAACATCGAAATCGTGTATTTCATGATTTTCGTACTGGTCTTTGTCGTAATCTTGTTTGTTCGGATTTATTTACACGTGGTATTGATATTCCAGCAGTGAATGTTGTTATCAATTTTGATTTTCCTCGTTATAGTGAAACTTATCTGTAAGTAAAAATAAAAATTTCAAGTAAAAAAATTCATTTAATATTTTCTTTTTGAAAATAAAAAATAATTTAGTCATCGTATTGGTCGTTCGGGTCGTTTTGGTCATTTGGGTATAGCAATCAGTTTAATAACATATGAAGATCGATTTGCTGTACACAAGGTTGAACAAGAATTAGGTACAGAAATTTTGCCAATTCCACGTCACATTGATGAAAATCTTTATGTGGCTAAAGCATCAGCTACTGATCAATTACTCGAAGAACAACAACAATAATTAGATAAATGAACAGTCAGATCTTCTTTTCTCTCTCTCTCTCTCTCTTTCTGTGTGTTTTACTAGTAAACAGCAAACATTGATGATTTCTAAGATCAGATATGATATGTGTGTGCAAAATTTTATTCTACGTTTTTTTTTTGTGATCGATTGTTATTCTTGTTCTTGCATTAAAACGTTTTTTTTATTTTATGGATAAAAAAAAAGATACGATAAACATTAAAATAAGAAAACGTTTATATTCTACTTTAGATATCAATATATCTTCGATTGATTTGACAATTTATTCACAAAAGAAAAAAAAAAAAAAGAAAAGAATTTTGATATAAACATTCATTTAAATTTGTACATATAATAGTTTGTTTCATTTGTTTTTCTTTTGTGTTTTACCATACAATTATGATTGATTCGTCAACAGGAGGTAAAACTTCATTATCATTACCATTTTCTTCAACAAATACAGATGGTAATGATAAAAATAAAATAAATAATGGTAATACATCTACTGCAAATTCAATAATAACAATTAATAAAGATGATCCTGATTGGAAATCGAAATTAAACATTCCAGAAAAAGATAGTCGTGCTAGAACATCCGATGTTACAAATACAAGTGGTCATGACTTTGAAGATTATTGTCTTAAACGAGAATTACTTATGGGTAAGAAACACTAAAAAAAAATGTTTTTTATGCCTTGAAAAAAAAAAATTTTTTTTGTTTTAGGAATATATGAAAAAGGTTGGGAAAAACCATCTCCTATTCAAGAACACTCAATTCCAATAGCT